CACTGAGTTCTCTCAGTTTTAGATGTAAAGCAGAATCAGAGTTTTCTAAATCTCATCATAATGGACTTCTGATGCAACGTACTTCATTTGCCTGATAATGATATCATTGCACATGATGTAATTACATCATTTACATTATGACAACATTATATAAGTGATGCAGTTATGCAAATGATGCGTATTGCATCATGTGTGTTATAATTGTATCAGTAAGCAGATAATGTTATAATGACATTTTATTGGAACTATAATTGTGCATTCATCTGTTAAAACAAGATCTCACTGTGCAATTTAAAGCAAGAGAGAAATAAAAATTATCCCATTAGGAATGAGGAAATGTTTGGTGCAACATCCTCAGTAATCCAATTCTATTTTCTTCCTGTATACTTTTAAAGCAATAAAATACCTTTGATGATGTGATGGGCTTTAAAAGGAAGTATTATAAGAGATTCTGAGGGGAAAGGATATAAATATCAGTTCCAGATTAAATTAATGAAGGGCTGTGGTGCAGTAATCTGCAGGCTAATCTTAGTTTTCTGAGGAGTTTCCACAATAATGATGTAGCTCTTTGAACTTTTGTTTTCTTTTCTTTGCTTAATCTTTTTTAGGAATCAAAGCTTTCTTCTTCTTCTTCGTAGCATATTCCCGCTTTTCAGATCATTGAACGGCACTTTGCATTGTCAGCTGTGTCTCCAGGGCACAGGCCTACAGCTTGCATATCTTTGTTGATGGTGTCTTGCCATCTCTTCTTTTGGATGCCCGCAAGGTCACCGTCCATTGACTTCTAGTTGGTAGGCAGTCTTGGCCACAGTGGAAATTGCTGCTCTCAGGACATGCCCATACCAGTGAAGTCGGCCTTCTCTCATCTTCTCTATAATTGGTGCCACACCAAAATATTGTCGAATGTTGTCATTTGTGATGTGGTCAAGAAGGGAGATGCCTAATATCCAGCGGAGCATTTGCATTTCCATGGCATGGAGATAGCTTCCAGTCCCTGTTGTTATTGCTCAGCATTCAGTGCCATACAGTGCAACAGGGTGGATGGTTGTCTTGTAAATCTTAGATTTAAGACGGGTTGGCATTCGTCTGTCACATAACACACTGGTGAGTTCTTGCCAACACATCTAGGCTGCATTCACCCTTTCTCGCACCTCACCATTGATGTCGCCATTGCCTTGGAGATGGGATCCCAGATACCGAAAAATATCCACCTTCTTTAGGTTTTCTCCATTGATTTGAAGACCAAGGCTTTTGTTTAGGAAGAATTAAATTAAATTGCTGTATGTTGAATGTTTTTAGAGAAATTGGTGGGAGAACAGATTACACAGATTATAAAAGGACCAATGTATAGAAACAACGCCAATATTTAGCGTCATTTGAAGAGTCTCAACTGGCTATAAATTTCAGAAGTACAATCTCCTTCAGGATCCAAGTTCTCATTTTGGCTGTGATTGGAGATTTCCCCAAAGGGGATGGGGTGATTAAAAATATTTTAAAATGTAGCTGCCCAGTGCCTTTAACCAGGTAAATCCAATTGAAAGGCTAAAGTCAAAGGCAAAAGAAGGGCATTTTTATAATGTAAAGGAAGTTATGTTATAAAAATGCTGTTTGTTTATTAATTTGTATTCTACCTTGATTATTTTTATAAATAAGGTCGCAAATATATCCAAAGACACCTTCCTCCTGTTTTCCCCACAACAACAACAACAGCCCATTGAGGTGGGCTGGAATAGGGGAGTGACTGGCCTTAAGTCACCCAGCTGGCTTCCATGTCTAAGGCTGGACTAGAATTCACCATATCCTGGTGATTGGTTCCAAGTCACCCAGTTGGCTTTCATGTCTAAGGCTGGACTAGAACTCATCCTCTCCTGGTGATTGGCCCAAAGTCACCCAGATGGCTTCCATGTCTAAGGCTGGACTAGAATTCACCATATCCTGGTAATCGGCTCCAAGTCACCCAGTTGGCTTTCTGTCTAAGGCTGGACTAGAACTCATCCTCTCCTGTGATTGGCCCAAAGTCACCCGGCTGACTTTCATATCTAAGGCAGAAATAGAAATAGAACTCAGAAATATCTGAAAAATAGGGCTTGAAGCTTAACAGCTCAAAAACCAAGATCATGGTCGTCAGCAAACAACCCATTAATTTACCACTGATAAATTTGGAAGGAATCCCACTAGAAAAAGTTAAAAGGTTCACATACCTTGGTTTTAATTTACATGAAAGCTGGGACATAATCAGTGAAGTAAAGACAAGGATAGAAAAAGCTTTCATTCTTCAGAATGAAAAAGGTTTTCTGCAGTCGCGACGTAAGTCTAAGTCTGAAAATCAGGCTTGTCAGATATTACATCTTTTCTATCCTGCTCCACGGAGCAGAATTGGTTTCTGACAGAAAACCAATTGAAGAAACTAGAAGCATTTGAAATGTGGATTTACAGGCAGCTGTTATGTATAAACTGGGTTGACAAAATCACAAATGAGGTGATAAGCCGCCTGGGAAAGCAAAGGGAAATCATCAAAGCCATTACAAGGGAAAATCAGAATATTTTGGACATGTGATGCGGCACCCAGGAAAATACAGCATCCTTCACGTAATCCTCGTTTGCCTTCAGGGAAAAACTGGAGGCAAATGAGCGCCAGGCATAGAAGAACATCATGGCTTCAAAATCTAAGGGACTGGTTAGGATATTTTGCAGTCATTTGGATAGAGCCATAGTGGTGCAGTGGTTAGAATGCAGTATTGGAGGATAATTTTGCTGACTGCCGACTGACAGCTGTTCGCCAGTTCAAATCTCACCAGCTCAAGGTTGATTCAGCCTTCTGAGGTCAGTAAATTGATTGTTGGGGGCAATATGCCGACTCTGTAACCCACTTAGAGAGGACTGTGAAGCGCTATATAAGTCTAAGTGCTATTGCTAAAGTGAGGAGGTAAGGCCTTTTCTCTCTCTCTCCCATTTGCATTCCTGATCCTGACTTGCTAATAACAAAATCTCTGGCTCTGGTCGTTTTCTACAAGCCCTGTTTCTCCGAAGTCTAGAATGAGAGAGACTTTACAGTACAAAAATGAAAGAATCAGACACTTGAAGAGTGTTTACTGTTGAATAAGGGCGATAGGGTGAACCTAGCATATAAAATAAAGGCAATTTTATGTCTGTGCCACTCTTACTGCACACACCTCCACATAGTTATTTCCCGTATCAGATATTTCTGTATAAGCAATCAGTGGAATTCTGAAATAAGTTTCAATTCAGGTACTTTTACATGCTTGTTCACCCATCTCACCGTCCATATGAATTAATAGTAACTTTGTACATATGTACACTTGCCTGTTACTGCCTTCACATGATACACAACAGCAGTGTTTCTCAACCTTGGCGACTTTAAGTCCTGTGGACTTCAACTCCCAGAATAGCTGGCTGGGGAATTCTGGGAGTTGAAGTCCACAGGACTTAAAGTCGCCAAGGTTGAGAAACACTGCTGTTGTGTATCATGTGAAGGCAGTAACAGGCAAGTGTACATATGTACA